CATTGGAATCAAGGCGGAGAAACGAGTTCTGGGTCGAAAGGAGCGAAGTTGGGACGAAGTGGGCAGTAGGAGGAAAATACCCGGTCAGGTGGCCAAATACCCGACCGGGTATTCACCACTTTTGGGCGCCCGAGAAGCAGAGAGGGGCCCGGGCACAACAGCAAAATCCCCGGTCGGGGATTATGGCGAGTGACCGGGGATTCTTCCCTTACGCGAAACGGTGCGCTGCGATAATACCCGATCGAAACCCAAAATACCCGACCGGGTATTTCGACCGGGTATCGCGACCAGGCAGTCAATTTAAGGAGAAAGAAGGCCAACATTGAAGGGTTCCGAGTTTTTGAGAGAGAAATCGATTCGTAGAGAGAGAAAGCGACGAACCAGAGTTCCCAAGCGCCATAGATCGATCTTCAACACCATTGGAGCCCGGTTTGAGCTTGGAGAAGTGCGATTAAACGTCCAGGAGCAGAAATCCAACTTCACAGTATGATTTCCGCGTCTGAATCTGCTTTTGCTTCTTTCTCTATGGAGTAGTTTCCCCATTCATCTGGGTATGGAGAACCCTAGATTTGTATGCTAGGTCTGATTGTATGAACCCAAGTACAGCGTTTGTGAATTGATCATATTCGATTGAGGTTTGAATGATTGAATGACTTGAATCCTGATCAAATTCCTGTTGTTTATGCTTTAACCTAGAATGAGAATATATGCCTAGGTTGATAGAGTACCCTTAATCGAAGGTGGCGAATTGGTGACTTTAGTCGAGGAGCCAATTTGCTATTCTGTACCGAAGTCAATTCGGTAGTGGAGGTTTGGTTCATTAGGGCCTCAATCTGTTTACTCCGGTGGAGGTTAGTCGCCCGCTAGAGACTCAGATTGAGAGGGTCTGGAGACCTTTAGTCGAGACTTCAGGCTAATTGAGAACCTTCCGCAGTATAACTTTCATGAAAACTGAACTTGGTAAATTGCAATCCGACTTAACTGCAGTCTAGGGGGAACCATATCCGGGTGACCTCTCTTGACTTGACAACAAACCGTTTACTTGCTTTGTGTTTTGTTTGCTTGAGTTGCACTAAAAGTTCACCGCTAAATAACAAGAATTCACCGAGTAGTCATCACATCTAGGACCCGGGTTGACAATAAAACCCAAACCCGCTATACTACGCTTTAGGAAGTGGTTGCACTTGGCCATTTTCTAGAGTGACAGTAGGAGCGAGTCAAGGGGCGACCGTGTCCCGCCCGTGTTTTGAAGGCCGAGACCGTGCTCCCCCCACTTTAAAACACGGGCGGCCTGGGGTGCAAAACACGGTCGTGTTTTGACCCCCAGGCTGCCCGTGCTTTTACTGCCGAGGGCAGTTTAGCGAGGGTCAATCCATGAATAAAACACGGGCGGGCAGAGGTCAAAACACGGCCATGTTTTGGACCTCTGCTGCCCGTGTTTTCACTGCCGAGCCTATTTTGCCTTATTTTCCAAGTTCCAATTTCAAACCACCAAGACTCATTCGTGCCCCGGCTCTAAAATTTACTCAATCACACATTAAAAAGCACCGCCAGAGGCATGATATACGTTCCAGACAGACTCCAGACAGACTCAAAGACTCAACAACCGACAAAAATGAAATAAATAAACAAAAACAAAGGATAGAAATGCAAACCGTGGTGGGGTTGCCTCCCCACAAGCGCTTCTTTACCGTCTTTTAGCTGGAAATGGTAATTACAGCCCGCCCGTGTTTCTGGTCCAGCCCGCCCGTGTTTCTCTGCCACGTGGTAATTACACGGGCACGGGCTGGGGAAAACACGGGCGTGTTCTGGGTGGGACACGGCCGTGTTTTGGTTGACCCCGCCCGTGTTTTTTAGCTGTTGCAGCCCAGACATGGAGAGCCTCGGCAGTATAAGCACTGCCAGGAGCACGGCCGTGTTCTGAAGGCCTCCTGCCCGTGTTTTGGCCCTGGCTCGACCAAACGACTTCCAAACGATCCGAAACTCGCGCTTGGCCTTCCCTTCGACGCCTGGGACCTGAAATAGGACAAAGTAGCACAACCCGGCGTAAAATAGGCCAAAACACACAACTATGCTCCGCAAATGGATAAGAAAATAACTCAAGCCCTCCTATCACCTCAGTTCTTGGCCAACACAATCCGTTTCAAGATCGCTACTCTCGTCCTACCAACTATGCATGGCTTCTCTTCTTTGGTTGTGTCTTCTATGTTTCATTATCTCGACCAGAACGCCACAAGTTATCTCCCAAGGCAGCGAGGTGCGTATTTTTGGGTTATAAGGGCAACCATAAGGGCTATGCTTGTTACGATGTTGCAGCTCGACGTCTCGACATCTCGTGCCACATTGTCTTCTTAGAGCATGAGTTCTACTATGCTTTTCTACTCAGAGTTCCCACCTTGACTTCCTCACATCTATTCCTAGTTTTCCTTCACTTCCCAATAGTGCTAATGACGATGGTCCGCCAACTCTTCCCTTGACAGCTGCATCTAACTCCATGTCCTCCTCTACTTCGCCCACAAGTAAGACATCCTCATCTGAGTCTTCAGGTGATTCATCATATGACTCCTGAGCAGCAAGTGCGGACTCCGAGCCTTTTTTATGGAGGTCTACGTCAGCGACGCGTGGACAGGCTCTTGCTCGCCACTCTGACTTATTTTCCTTCTCCACTATGGCGCCTGTCTTTTTCCAGCTACATATAGAACGCAATGACCACTGCGGTTGATGCACTTGAAGCCCAACATACTTGGGATCTTGTGCCCCATCATCCTGAGATGCTCATGATCGGCTCCAAGTGGGTTTATTCCATCAAGAGTAGCATAAAGCAAGGGTGGTCGCGCAAGGGTTCAAACAACATTATGGCGTGGACTACGATGAGACATTTTCCCCTGTCGCCAAGATGCAAACTGTTCGTAGTCTATTTGTTCTTGCTTCCATGAAAGGTTGAAAGTTGGTCCAACTGGATGTCAAGAATGCCTTCTTACACGGCGACTTGAAGGAAACCATTTATATGGAACGTCCTCCAGACTATACTAAAGGCTACAGCTCCATGGTATGCTTGCTACGATGTTTTCTGTATGGCCATAAACAGTCGCCTAGGGCGTGGTTTTGGATACTCTAGAGTACGATTCTGCACGCTCGTTTTGTTTAGAGTGACAATAATCCATCCTTTTTCTTCGTAATACAACACGTGGTCTTACTGTTGTGTTGATATATGTTGATGATATGGTGCTGAGCGGGGATGATCAGGAAGGAATTGAGTCTCTCACTGCGACATTACGTGAGGCCTTTAATCTTAAGGAGCTTGGCGACTTATCATATTTTTGGCCTGGAGATTGACCGATCAGCTACGGGTATTCATGTGAGTCAACGTAAGTATGTTGAGGATCTATTGGAAGAAGCTCATATGGATGTCTGTGATCAGAGTGGTACTCCTATGGAACAGAACTTGAAGCTGCGTCAATCTGATGGGGATTTGCTGGATAATGGTACGAGCTATCGTAGCATTGTGGGGAGTCTCCTATATCTGATTAATACTCGTCTTGATATCGCCTATGCAGTTTAGGTTGTTAGTCAATATATGACGGCTCCTCGTACGTTTCATTCAATTGTTGTTCAGCAGATTCTCCAATAGCTCAGGGGTACGCTGGATGTGGGGCTCTTCTTTCCTGCTGGTGGTGACCCAATCACGACAGCATATGTTGATGCTGATTATGCTGGTTGCTCGGATACTCGTCGTTCGACCTCTAGTTGGTGTTTGAAAGTTGAGCATTCTTTTGTCTCGTTGCATTGTAAGAAACAAGACAGAATTTCCAAATCCTCCACCGAGGCGGAGTATCGGTCTATGAGTAAAGTCACGTCGGAGGTGGTGTGGTTGCGACATTTATTGGCCGAGTTGGGGGTTCCCTACACTGCACCTACTCGCCTTTTTGTTGATAACTCGAGCGCCATCGATATTGCTACCAACCCAGTACTTCATGATCGTAGGAAACATATTGAGTTACATGTCAATTATATTCGTCAGTTGGTTACGGATGGCGTTATTGATCTTTCGTACATTCCTTCTGAGGATGAGCCGACAGATCTCCTCACCAAGGCGGTCGCTTCAGCTCGTCACTTGTTTATAACACAAAAATTGATGCTGCATCATCACCATTAATTTGAGAGAGGGTGTTAGAAAATTTAGTAGTTTGGGTACTGTTTTGTAATTGTCCTTGTACATATTATGTAAAACATTTGTTGTAGGGTTTGGGATGCTCGATCATATATAAAGCCCTTCGATGGCTACATGTAGTTAGGTTGTGAAGACTACTGAATAAGAGAACCGATTGCCTTGTGTCGTGGACTAAACCACGTGAATCTTGTGTTCTGTGTTCATATATGATTCTAGATTGCTTGGAAATTGACACGATCCTGAATGAGGTCTACTATGGTATTCCCGAAGACATTTAATGGAGATCCTCGTAGAAGGCCTGAAGGGCTCAAGTAGGTGAACCTCGGGTTTGATTTCGCTCTAACATCACTCTAACGGTACGTGTCTGCGTGGGGATGTTACTGGGTTATAAAAAAGAAAAAGACAAGGACCCACACGGAAGAGAGAAGCCGTGTTACGTTCGGTAAGACTTTTGTGAGATAATAATTAATAAAGAAAGAAAGACTACCCAATGTGAATATCAGCCGCGTGAGGGCAGGCTGGAGGAAGCAAGTAAATGACAAGAAATTTCCTGTCGAAGCTCTAGAGCTCTTTTTATTCACCGATCCACCGGTGTCATAGTTGTAGATCTCTAGCTAGCAATATGCAATCTCCATCGAAGGAAAATCCCGACCTCCCTGCGGTACCAACGCCGCCATCAGATTCCCGTCCAGCGAAAGAGGTTGCCCGTGGTCAGTCAATGGAGAAAGTTGACCTGCCATTAAAAGGGTCCGGTACTGCTAGGAAAAGCAGAACAGCAGCACTGGTAGTGATCTACGCCGCAATGACTTCCCTGTGGGTGTTAAGCAGCATGTATCTGCATCCGGCGGTACAGCGCCTGCCTCCGCCGCCGCTCCCGTGGCGGTACCACGCCTTCCTCAACTTCCGCGGGCTGGACGTCCGCCACTCCTTCTCCGACCACCTCTACTCGGCGCTGAAGCGGAGCGGGGTCAGGGCTTTCCGCGACGACAAGGACATGCCACGGGGCGCCAACAAATCGGAGACGCTCCTCGCGGCGATCGAGGCGTCGATGATCTCCGTCGTGCTGCTGTCGAGCAACTACGCCTCGTCGCCGTCGTGTCTCGACGAGCTTGTGACCATCTTGCGGTGCAGGCACAAGATGGCCCACCGCCCGCTCCCGGTGTTCTACCAGGTGTCGCCGGAAGACGTGCAGTACCTGTCTGGGCCGTTCAAGCGCGACTTCGACGATCACAAGGACATCTACACGTACAACAGAGTCGACGGCTGGATCAAAGCTATGCAGGCGGTTGCCGATTTAGCAGGCTGGCATCTCGAGCGCCATAGGTATGCTCTCTTTCTCTCCCAATGAAGTAATTAAATAACTCTTCAATTATCGAATTACTTACATTGCTACCCTAGAATATCTATCGATCTGTGGACTACGTAGCAGTTTATTTTCGAAATCTGTGCATTTTACTGTTTTTAATTAATTTGGTAGTTAAAAATCGTTATTGTTGAATCAAACAGTTCCATGAGGATGATATTGTCTGCAGAGAGTTAGACAGCAAACATATGATTCATCGTATAGTATTATGCTCCTCTTTTTACAAGGCAATATTATGCTTAATGAGACAAGGCCTAACTAATCTAATTAAGAAAATTAGCTGGATCAAGTTTCAAATGGTCATCACCCTGTTCAATAAATCAATGCAAGTGTTGCATTGTGATATCAACCAATTGTTGCAGTGTACCATTTCAATAATTCATTTTAGCAGATTGTTTAAGTTGACGAAACTTCTTACCGTCTTAGTCGTTGTTTATATACAAGTTATTGTGAAAAAGGACAAAAGACAGCTCATTGTCAAATGTTTGGTAGTTAAGGTAGGGATGAAAGTAATATATATTTTCCATGAACAATCATATTGAATTCTTTATTATATATAAAACACAAAAATTTTAGCACTTACAAACGAAAACATCGTACACATAGTTAGAATAAATGTATTCGTTTCGTAAATCTTTTCATTTATTAAAAGATAATATATAAAATAAATAATTTTATACTTTTTTTTATGATTATTGGCGTGCTATTAAACATACCATTAATTTAGAGACAAAATAAAATATTTGTACTTATTTTATACATAACCCGTAACGTATTTTAATAACAATAATTGTACGTGAACACATATTAACTTCAAATTGCCCTGCGCACATGCAGTTCTGAAGCAGAGGCGGTAGAAACAATAGTGAGCCGGGTAGTGGAAGCAATTCATTCATCGATAAAGGAGCGTCAACTCCAAACATCATCACCTACTGAAGGTACGCACAAATTGAATTCAAAACTCTGTTTTCGACGTACTTCTTATCAAACAATCGCATGCTGCTCATAGAAGTTGATTCTCAATGCGACGTTCCTTTCTCTTTTGTTTATGAAGATGGAAAGGTCATCGCCAGCGTCCGCAAGGTACTGACCTCCGATTTCATCCGGGAGCTAGTCACGAGGAAACCAGGTGAAGGACAGATGTGTAAACGTTGATTAGAGTCGCTGGGGTGATGATGATGACTTCCACGAGTTCACGAGTCACTCGACGTTGAGTCATTCTTTTTCTTCTTCCTATTTAGGTTTGCTGTTGAAGGCGAAAGCTAGCTTAGTAGAGGACCTAGTAATTGATAACCTAGTTCTAAGTTATGATGGGAATATAAGACATTTCCTCAATCGCGATTATTAGAACAAGATATGGTGCAAACCATGCATATATAGAGGTTGTTACCACTGCAAACCATACGATGATGTATGTTCTCAATATATAAGGTGGCAATCCATAATTAGCCACTCGAGTCCTAGTTGACGTTGTATGCTGGCTCTTGTTATATATTGTCATGAATGCGGAGTCCTAATTAACCCAAATAGTTACCTAAAAGCAAAATGTTATTCATTAAATTTAATTCTGGAACTAAGAATTTTCATCATAAAATAACCACGAGTCTTAATATACCATGTATGCACTCTAATACTACTACTAATATCAACCTAGAAATCTCACGTTCAAGTCCTAACTTCCCCTGACCCCACATACCCCCTTCAGTGGCATGTAAGAAATAAGAAACTATCCCTAAAATCATATAATTAAATACCAATATTCACGCTTTAACACAAGTTGACATATCAGAAATAAAATTGGAACTTATGTTAATAACTTTACATTCCTTTTTCAAAAATTGAAGTCCTTAAAAAGTTAGCGAAATGAAAAAAAAAAATTCATTACGTTTGGATTATGGAGCAAAAGTTATGGCTGTCCAAAGTTTGACGAAATCGGAAAAAAGCCCGTTCGGGTAGCAAACGACGTTTTTCGGGACGAAGGTGCGACCAAACCGCCTACGGCTGTTTGCGGCTTGCAAGATCTCGAAAAGTTATGGGAAATCAAAAAAAAAATTCGCTATGATCGGATACCGAGCACAAAGATACGTTTGTTTAAAATTTCCACCTAGGTTAGGAATAATAAAAAAAATAGGGTCAAACCGCTGGGTGTGGCAGCGGTTTTGAGCCAAAACGCCCCTACCCGCTGCAATCAGCAAAAGTGCCCCCAACCCAAACGGTTTGGTCGAAAACCACGCCCACACCTAGCGGTTTTCGAAAATGGGTGCTATTTTTGAAATTTTTTGGAATTGGGTGCTATTTTCGTAAAAAAAAAAAAAATTAAACTGTGTTATTTCTGAAAAAAAAATCCTAAAATTCAAGAGTGTTTAGTGTTCCATGGAAGAATCCCATCTGCTAACTCCTTGACTTGATGAAAAGAAATTGTGAACCACAAGCACCGGAGATTAATTCAGAAGTATTAATTCCACAGACAACCGTGTACTGTACACCAAGACACAATTCACTATTCATACAGACTCAATTTTCTTGTTCACTGCCTCCTGATTGGCCGAGCCTCTGTCCTGGGCCTGTCTTCCTTCAGCCCACCAATTGGGCGGCGCGTGTCTCTCCTGCCTGTCGTTTGCCCATGCAATGGAGCGCTGGATTTCGCGGGGTTTCCTCGCGGTGGAGACGCGACGGCCTCAAGTGGACCCGGTCCCCACTCAAGGCCCCCACTCCTGCTCATAGCTCCCATGTTCTACTCTTTTGTTCCTCACGACCTCACCTTTTTCTCTTGCCAGTTGATGAGACCAGTGCCATCATTTGATTTCCACTGTTTACACTCTGTTTCCGAAGGAAGGGAGGAAAGTGGAGGGGAGGGGAAGGAAATTAGGAGGGAGGGATAATTTGGAGGTTAAGGAAATTGGAAGGAAAATGGTGTTTCATGAAGGAAAGTGAGAAGGAAAATGTGTATTGGGATTTGTGATGGATATGTTATTTTATTGGATATATAATAGTAAAATAATTTGATTATATGTTGATATTATTTTCATTGGTTATGCGAATAAAAGTTTTACTTGTTAATTTTGTTCACATTTAAAAATAAAAAGAAGATGGTTTGAATTTTTTTTGAATTTATTGTTAAAATTTGTTCGCTATTTTATTGATTAACCAACTTAGCAACTAAAAACGTAAACATACAACAAATCACACTACGCATATACAAATCTATATTTATTTAAAATTTTTGTATCGTATTATTGTCAAGTCGTTTCATTTTTATGTCACATGTAACATTTTTATGTATCGTGTAAAACAACGTTATGCATGTCGTAATTCAGTGTACATAAAAATAACAAAACGTATCGCATGTTCAACCCGAAAAATTGTGTGTCAAAATCCAAATCGGTATAGGATTTTATCGATATGAAATGATTGAACCATAATTTAAATATAAATACCCTACTATTAAGTTATTCGATAGAACCCCTACAATTTTATAATTTCATTTCAATGGCTACGTTCAGTATAGCAAAAGATAAATTGGTTTTATTTTAAATTTATTAATCAATTAATAGTGGACTAACTAGCAAATGAAGGTTGAAGTAAAAAAAAAATATAATCTGTCTCTCATTTAAGTCCCCTTATTAAGTAATATAATAATAAAAAATAAAAAAGAACCTTATACCCAATAACCAACACGCAACAAAAGTGACTTTCCCTCTCTTTCTCTCCAAATCGGAGGGACGGCTCCTACAGTGTCGTTTTCCCTCCCTTCCTCCTGTACATCAACTTCAAAAACAGAGGAAAGCTCCTTGGTATCCATGTTTCCCCACCTGCTTTTTCCCTCGCCTCCTTTTCTCTCCTTCCCGAACAGAGGGTTAGTGGCGTCGACCGAGGGAAAAGGAAGGAAAAACAAAATCGAGTAGGAGTAGAAGGAAGTCTTGGCCGGTTCTATCCAATCAAGGCAGGGAAGGAGAGAGGATGAGATGATGGTTTGGCGGTGAAGTGATAGCCATACGGAAAGGATCAGAGACCCATAGCATTGCACTCCTTGATCCAAAATTTTCCCTTCCTCCTCCTTCTCTATATTCTGCACTATCCACAAATCGAAACTGGAGTCTCTCTCCAATTTACATGATTCTCATCTTCCTCATCTCTCTCTCTCTCTCTTTCTTCTCTCCCTTCTTTCTCTGAACTTTTACGATGAGAAGAGCCGCCTAAGAACCGGCAAGAATCCTTCGGAGGAACCTCTACTCCTTTACCTGCGAACGATCAACGAGAAGCTACCAGTTGAAGCTAAGAAATCATGAGATCCCAGTGATTTTTGAATCTCTAAGCTTTTGTTTCATTTTTCTCTTCTATTTTGCATCAGTGGTAACCTCATTCGCTGTCTCCTCTCTTTAGGGATAGCCGGGAGTCGGCGAGATGCTTGCTTGGTGTTTTCACGATGGGTCGATGTTGGAACGATGGTGCTCCGATTTTGGTGGCTACGGTTAAGGCAGTGGCCACAAGAATCAGGTCAAGAGAGGTGGGGAACCCCTGAGCGATGTGGCGACCTAATCTATTTGTTCCAGCGACCAGATCGGTTTTAAGCGTCCCTCACCGACGAAAAGAAGATCCGAAGATGGTCCCTCTCTCTCTCTCTCTCTCTCTCTCTCTCTCTCTCACTCATATCTGAGGTGAGGTAGTTGTGAGCGAACAGGGAATCGTCGCTAACCCACCGGTTGTGAGGATCCCTCTCCAATGAAGCGGAGATCAGAAAATGGTCCCTCGTGCAGATCTGCCCAAAAGCTCTGATCAATTCGTTTCGTTCTCCAATGAAGAGCCCTCAACAGTGATTAGCGCCAGCCAGCGGATTCCGCAAGAGAGGGAAAACCAGAGAATGGTTAGATCTATTTGCTCTGTTTGTTCTTCTCTGCTTCCTGTTCAACTCCCTAATGGACTTCTCACTTTCTCCTTGGTTTTCCTTTTCTGGGCGAGGGACAACACGCCTTGGTCACCAAGGG